ATGTTCCCATTTGTGTTTAAACATTTCCTGCTTCGTGGAAAGCTCTGATGAGTGAGCTCAGACTTGCCCCAAAGCAGCAAGTCCCCGTTCCCCTGCTAGGAAGAACCTACATAAACTACTATCCAATTAGCTCTCAACAGCTTTATGGAAGGGCTCTACCTATTCCTTAAATTATGGAATACAGAAAATTAAAGAGGTTTTTTAAAGACTGTTGCAGTTTTTTTCTTGCAGAATTTGAGGCACTGCAGACTTCAAGTTCTTAATAAAAACGTGGAACACTGAGGTGTAGGAAGGCACTGCTCTTTAGTTTGTCACCTAAGCAGTGCTGTTCAAGGGCAGCGATGTTCTAAAACCTTCATGTCACCACAGCACAGCCTGTACCTCAATTAAAGGAAGGAGTTCAGAAGCAAGACAAAAATAAAAGTAAAAAAGGAGAAGTACTAAACTAGACCTTCTCAGCATTGCCAAAGCCTGTTGCTACCAGGCAAATGATGAAATCACTGAGCTGATTTCCAGTCCTACATCAAAGACCAGCAGTGTGTACACATGCATCTTGCAGGCTTGCTGTACAAACCCGAGGGGGTTGTGCTGCACCTTTACTGTCCTGTGTTAATTAAACAGCAATAAAGTAAGGACTAACCTGCAGCATCCTTATAACACAAGTCAATTACTGTGCGTTTTGCTGGCTTGCTTTGCATAAGTAAAAATAAGTAAATACTGTGTTTGTTCAGCTTCTACCCAGGGCATTGGAACTTATGTTAAGTATTTTTTGGTGAAAACTGAGTTAACGAGTACTAACTAGTCAGGGACAGGCACTGGACCGGATGTTTGGATGCATGTCACATGCCATGATTCTCTTTCACAGCCGTCTGATGCTTCAACTTCAGAAAGCTGAGATTGGAGCTAGTGAATTTGTTGTTTTAAGTCAGAACACGAAGAAGACAGAGACATCCTCCTTAAGAAATCCTGAACCAACTTTTAAGTGAAAATAATTACTGATGTTCTTATCGGCTAAGTGGGCAGAATGCCAGCATTCTTCACATACAAGTGCTCCTGCTGCACAAACTCCACTGAGAAGCACCATTTTAAGTCTTCATTTTTTTGCTCATTTTTTAAGACTAAGACCAAAATTATGTGGTGTAAATGAACCATAAACTTCGTGGCTTTTTCTGCCCAAAATGTCTTTTCCTTTCAAAAGACCTAAATAGTTATAAAGTTCATGGACAGACTGAACTCCCCAAGCAGCAAACAGCAGATACACGTTGTCTACCAAAGATATGGAAAATTAGAAAAGGCAAAATGATTAAGTAGAAAAGGGACAGCCTGGACCTCCAAGCAAATATTGCTGAGAGTTTCAGGGATAAAATCAAGACCTGTTTTCCCCCCATTCAGCCTGAGAAACAGCCAGTTACCCTGGCAGACTTTGTAAACAAATGTCCAGCTTTAACCAACAAGCAACCCCTTTAAGTCACTGGCTGCCTCATCAGCAGGATTTCTGGTACTGTAAGTCAGAGTTCAGCCAGTTAAAAGTGGTCTTCTTGTGCTTTATCCTTAAAATTTGCTTTCCTAGTCCTATTAAGAATCTCTGAAGTTTCAAGCAGACTTGAAAACCTTTGAAGACACCAGGCCAACAGGCTAAGCAGGAAGATGAACAAAAGAGATAAGCTACTCAAGAGAGTCCACATGTACCAAGAAAACAAACCTTCAAGACTGTTCTAACAAGGAAAACAAATGAAGGCACATCTTTAAAAAGTCACCTCACAGCCAACCTTTCAGTTTTGTTTCCTGAATTCTTACACTGGGAAACAGAATGAGGAAATCAGAAAAATATTCTCAGTGACAACTAACCACAGTTGTTTTTTTTAAATACTGTGCTTCCTCCAGATTCATTTCTCCACATTGCAAGGTTTTCTATTGACTTTCAGTCCCTACTTAAGTCTCCAGAGGAGACACACTTCAGAAAGGCTAAATAAGCAGCTGAATCTCAAAATGATGGGTTTTTGCGTTACAGATTCAATTTTTATTTGCTTCACAATCAAAAATTGTCCCTGAAACACATTTTGGTTCTTAAAAAAATTAAGAAAAATAAGGAAAAAAAAAAAGAAACAAAACAAAACCAAAAAAAAACCCCAGACACCTACGACAAAGTCATCCTGTACATACTTTGTACATTACAATTCAGCTTTCATAATCAAGGTATCTCTCAGGATGGTACGTCCAAGAAAGAAGTGGCAGTTTAAAAAGCAAAATAAGTACAATTCCAGAGCAAGGAAGTATGGAGGAAGCTACTGTTTCATGCTGGACTTCAGAATCCAGCCAAGAGAGCCCTTTTGAGACAGACTGATGATTTCCTGATTGTTTTGCAATGTAAGACATATTTGAACACTGGCACGTAGCATATATCCTACAGTGCCAAATGATCAACGCACTGTTGAGATTCTAATTCAGTTCCAGAACTGATGGAATTGCCCCATTTCTCAAATGACAGCACAAATCCCAACAGCAATCTGGTTGTCCTCAAAGACCACACTGGCAGTCCACTTCTGCTAGTGCTGCCTACCAACGGTGCTGTCACAGCACGTTACTGATCACATGGTGAGAGACCAACACTCAGCAACCCTAAGCCCACGAGCACCATGGACTGAACGGAGAAAGGTCTGCTGTGAGAACTTCCAAAACCTTAAGTCAGCAGAACGACTACAATGCCCAAGAACCTTTCTGTAGGCTGAAATGGAAAAAAAAGACAACTGCACCAAAGAGTAAGGCCTTAAGAATGGTTTAAATGACCTTGACATTAGGAAGTCAGTTTTTGAAGGCAGAGAATGGTTTCCTCTTCTACACTAGAAGCCACATAACTGCAAGGACTGAAGTACATACCTACAACGTTTTGCACACTGCAGGAGATGGCTCTGCATAAGCGAATAATGAATTAGATGACTGAAAAGGTATTTTGCAGGTTTTCCTACATACTGGAACTTCAAATGTCAGTGGTTAAGTACTAAACATTTTTTGAGATATATTTAAAGGTATTCACACGTAACCACACTGGGGTGTGACACACAGAAGTGCACGAGGCACCATCTTATATTCAGATATTTTTCTGTCAGATGAATTATAAGGGACCTTTTTCCTCCAATCAACCCAGTCCTTTTTACAATGAATCTCTGCCAGACTTGTACCAGCCCAAGCGGGGTGGCAATGGGAAAGAAATGAAAGAAAATGGGGACATAATGGAAGGAAAGACTGGATAAGGAAATAAACCTACCTTCATCTCTTCCTTACAGAAGAAAGCATTTCAAGAAGTTAAGATGTTAGACTCTTCTCTGAAGAACTAGAAGCCTACGCAAACAAGTATTTTTGTGATATGGACTTAGTTACTGACCCCACACTGCAAAAGGGAAAGAAACTAGATCAGTTTTTGTGAGGAAATCAGATGTGTCTTCAACTTCACTTACCAAAATTAAAGTTAAGCAGAAACCAGGAGAGTCTTGCGAAAAGCAAGATATGCCACTGGCTTTTAGAGGAAGAGTTAGTCTGAAACAAACAAACAAAAAAAAAACCCTGGACACTTGGAAGCAGAATGCTTCCAAGGCGAAGCACAAGAACGTGGGATACTCCCTTCTCCCCTGCAAAGAACTTTCACCAGATAAGAACAGTCTTCTGTGTATCATCAATGAAGGACAATTCTACTCATTGTTTGTTAGTCTATCCTACACAGGATTACACTCCTCTCCTGCAGGGAGGAGGTCAGAAGGAAGAGAAAAGGGAACCATCTTCTCCGACGTCCGTGTCCCAGAGAACCATCTTCTCCGCATGCGACTGCACCTCCAGAAGCGGAGTCGCGATCAACTCAAAGCCCACCCTGATTGCATCGAGCTTCTCCTCCTTTTAAAGCAACAAATTCAAGCCGAGTTTTGGGTTTGATTTTTTTTTCCTCCTTCTTGTGACAAAATGAAAGGGAGAAAGAAAAGAGGGAGGGGTAGGGAAAGAATGTAAAAGCCTGACATTAAAATCGTCTCTGCAGCAGCCTCGCGAGTGCGAGCCAGCAGAGCCTCCTCCACACCCGCAGGGTTTGCATGCAGCCGTGTGAGGTGCCTGGGAGCCTGCCTGATGGATCGGATGGAGGGGAGCGAGGGAGAGAAAGGAGGGGGAGGGAAGGAACAACCTTTCTTTTCTCTCCTCTTCCTGGGGATCTGAAAGTTCCTCCTAAGAGGCTGGTGGTCTTCTGGGGGCTTAGGGAGAGGGGGCGGCCTCCCGAGCACACCGCTGGGCGGCTGCTGCTGTTCATGTGCCGTCGAGATGCTGCTCCTGCGCTGGCTGCTGCCAGTGATGCTGAGGTTTGTGGGGACCTTGTCCTCTGCAGCAGCAGAAGCCACCAGCACCGCCTCCCCAGCGCTATTGCTCTCAGAGCGTCCGCCATTTTGTGTGGTGTCCTCAGCGGCTCCCGCTCTGTTACTCCCCACTCCGAGGACGCCCGCGCTGGTCTTCTCCGTCCGCTGATGCTGCTCCCGCTCCATCTCGCCACTACTGGGGATCACGGCATCCATCATTCCCTCCGGAGAAGCGAGCCCGGCAACCCGCGCCTTCTCTTCTGCCCAGTACAGCGCCCCTGCCCAGCACCAGCACCGCCCGCCGCCCCTGCTCTCCCGCCTCACGGCGGCCCCTGAGCCGCCCCCGCCCCGGCGCACAACATGGCGGCGGCACAGGCACCGGGGGCGGGGCCGCGGCCGGCCCGGCTCAGCCAATCCGCTCGCGGCTCACGTTATAAAAAGGGGTGCGGAAAGCGTTCTTATCTCCGGGATGGGGCGGCACTGGGCCCGCTCCCTGTCGGCCGCTGTGTAACCCCCCACACCGCTCCCTGCCCGGCCGCTCTCCAACCCCCCCCACCGCTCCCCGCCGGCCGCCCTCCAACCCCCCACACCGCTCCCCGCCGGCCGCTCTGTAACCCCCCACACCGCTCCGCGCGGCCGCCCTCTAACCCCCCACACCGCTCCCCGCCGGCCGCCCTCCCGCTCATCGGCCCCGCGCGGTCCTCGCTGCCCTCCCGCACCGCTGGTCACCCACCGCCCAGCCCCGCCCGGTACCTGTTACATATTCATGACATTTCTCAACACTTATTAGCATATATACAATCCATACAGGGTCTCTGAGGGCCTTCACTGAGGGATCTTTGGTGGTCCTCTCTGGAGCCCATAAAGTTCTAAGTGACTTATGAGTCACTCACAGGAAGCCTTATGAGCTTCTTTAAGACAATACACCTGGTTATAGAATAACTTGGTATTTCTTGGCTGGCTGCCTCAGTTCCCTTCTTCATTTTCTTCACTCCGTTGGTTCTTTTCAATCGCTTGGCTCAGCTATAGGTAGGTTCTGTGTTACATTCTGCTGCACTATTAGTTCTTGTTGCATCTCCAAACTCTGATATCATCCCCTGAAGGGAACGGGCTCCCCAGAGCAAACCGACCCCGTGGTGGTGGCTTTAGGTCCAGGACCCATCCAGGGGCTCACTGGAGCTCAGCACAGCTCCCCGACCCCAAAAGGCAGCCCAGGGCTTGCACAGATACCTCGACAAACTCACCCCCTGACCAAAAAGTACACTGCACACAGCGTCAGGTCGCACTTCTTCCTCTAAAGTTTCCTTTCCAAGGCGTTGGAGAAAATTACAAAATTTCCTCTTTGACGAATAAAAATACATTATTAACAGTGAAAGGCAGGCAAAAAAAAAATCTTAATATGCTTTAGTAGGATTCTTCAATAGTCTCATAACCAGCTAACTTGTACTGGAGAATAGTATTGTATCAGAGAGCTAACATTTATTCCCCTCTGCCCCCGCCACTGCAAGGCTCACTGGTAAAAGAGGGGTGTGAATATGTGACAGCCAAAGCACAGACCTTTTTTTGGAAGCTCTGAGGAATGCACCGGGATTGAACCTGCTGAAAATAACCCATTCTTGCATTGCCTAGGAAATACGAATACCAGATGTTTAGTTTTACAAGTAAGTAACAAAACATTAATTTTCTTTATTAAAAGTATACTAGTGATGTGCTTGTTGAACAAATACATATATTAATTACCTACTTATACCAATTACCTTCAATTCTTGTAACTGTAGCTATTTATACTGTCACCTCAAAAGCCGCTACTGACTGACCTTAAAAATGTGAAGTTTGCATGCTTGCAAGGTATGCAAGGAACATATATTTTAACCTGGCCATTTTATTTAATTGATCTCTTTTTAGATTACCTGTAAGTCAGAAAATATAAGTAACCTACCAGCCCACACACTGCCTAGTGATAGTGGTAGCCTCCAGGGTGTTAAAAAATAAGCTAATAATTATTAGTTCTTACAAGTCTTTGGTGAGCCAGCAAGTTAAAACAGGGTAATTAGTATCTGTAACCATAATTTACATAAATTACAAAAACATAACACCAAATATTTCTCTGACTGCAGAAACATGGTGTTCCATTATCCAGAGGTAATAAACCCCAGAAATGCAGTGTTCATCCTGTGGATAAATCAAGACTGTCTTCCTAAGAATGTGATGTCCTGCCTCTGTGAGGGTTCAATGGTGGTAAAGAGGATATTACAGATGAGTTGATATATTATTGGAATAATTTTGCTGTGCTTTACTTTGTTCAAATAAAAGTTCCATAAACAAGAAAAAAAATGGAAATACCAATCTAGTGCTACTTAAGGCTGTGTTGATCCATTATACACCTCCAAATATGTCAACCTGCTTTATTAAGTTTGAATTGGCAAAGCTGCTAAAATCACTTCTGGGCTGTGCATGTCTTCAGTATACAACTAGTTCAGCTGGTGTTTGGACCAAAGAAAGTAGCAAGTCCTGCTTATTGACGAAGCAACACACAAAGAAGTTTTCCTCATTTACCACTTGCTTTAAAAACCTGTCTTTGTAGCTGTACAGAATTCTTTTTCTGTATTAATTAAGTCTTTATGTCACAAAAACTACTAAGTACTACTTGATAAATTACTTAACAATACCAGATCACTGTACTACTATGCATTTTAAGTCCTGATAGATATAAAACAGGTACTAAGAATCCCAGTTCACAAAACAAAGGTTCAGTGAAAAAACATCATAGGAAGAGATTACTTGAATACTCTGAAATAAAAAAGGTTATAAAATCTGTCACCTTATTGTCTCTCTAGCTTCTGGTTTCTGTGGTTTCTGATCCTTGCCAGGCATTCAACCACGACTCCCTGGCTTGCACCAAGTGGTTTCCCACCCAGGTACTAAGCAGCTGCAGAGCCCTTTGATTTTGAAATCAGATTATATGTAACACATTAGTATTACAGATTTAGATCAGATTAACAGCCACAAAATGGGACATTTTTAAGGAAGGGTTGTGTAAGGCTCCTTGCTCAAGGAGCAAACATGGATTCTTGCTCCAGACATTACCTCGGTATTCCTTTATGAAAACAAATTTAGAAATGCAAAATTACTCAATCTGAGCATATTGTTACAGTTTAATGTAAATAACTAGAAATTATTTTACTTTCCAGAAATTGCTCTAGTGATGCAAAACACATCTCATTCCTTCAAATGTTTAAATGCTAATTTTGTGCTGACTAAATTTCAGGTGCCAGGAGATCAAAGATAGGAGAACTGTATCATTAATCTTTCTTCAAAGACCATGCAAAGAGAGGCACCTTTGGAAAATTCAGAAACAAAACCTGATTTACACACTTGGAAAGAGTTTTAGTATCATTTACCAGCCATGGAGAAAATATGCCTATGATATTAAAAGGTGAGACAAAATGGGGCAGTAGGATTGACTTGGCTCTGTAAGAGCAGGGATTAGTAGCAGAAATTCACCTGGTGCTTTTTTCTGTAACAAATTTGTGATCCTCAGGTGAAAGTTTGAAAATACCTACCTGTATTTTTAAAATACTTTCATTTTATCATGATTAATACATTAAATATCTTAAAATACTTTAAATTTAATGTAATCAAGTCAGTTCTAAAAATACATCATAATTTCCATTAGATGGCACCATCAACCTGTAGAACAGATTACATTATTTTAAAATCAGTATTCATGAGTAAGCATTAGATACAGAAGAACTGTTCATTCTGGATCTGGAACCCCTTTCTCAAATGAAAAAAATCTTCCTTATATGTGAAACTCAGCTTCAGACTCTGTTAGATCCTGGCAACCAAGCTTTGTCCGTGAAGTGCCAGGCAGTGTCACCATAAAATATTAACTTTTTCAAAAAGTGCTATCCATTAAACTGGTACCTTAAGTTCTGATACAGCTTTCAAATTCTAAAAATTTTGTGAAACCTCAAGAAACCTGGTCTCCAGTCCCACAGAGGCATTCCTAAGGCAGTGTCCCTGGTTCAGGTGGATCATGCTGAAATAGGAGAAATAACGTTCTCTGCCTTGGAGTTCAATTTCCAGCCTGTCCTTACCAGATTCTGGCAGCTGATTCTCTGGTACTGAGCTTGAGAGACCTTAAACTTACTGCTGCTGGTGTCTCGTAACAGACCTTTGTGTTTCAGGAGATAAGTCCTCATCCTTGTGTTGTTCATTCAGTGCTGCAGAGCAAATCTAGGGTAACAAAGGCCACGGACAGTAAAATTTTTTTCATCAGAGGACCTATACAGTTCAAAGACTTCCAAGACCTTCTTATCTTACCTTTCTTTCTCAGTCAAGACAATCTCTGCTTTTACCTTCTGGTTCATCGGGTTTTTCCATAAGCTAAGACTACATTGACTGTCCTCATCAGGAACAGAAGAGCAAACAGTTGCTAAGATTTGTCAAAAAGGGACAAATCTCCCACATCAGACTTCCTGCTCTTGAGAGCGGGACACCTTAGCACTCACTCTTCTCCCAGAATGTGAGATTCAGAGTGCTCACAGCTCAGATTTAGAGGAGCACCTGCATCCCTCTCCTCATTTTTCCATCCCCACATGGTGATCCGGGAAGCACTTGACACCTCAGTCTTTTCACTGCTGCAACCCCTCAGACTCTGCCGACACCAGGATTACTGACTGTGATGATCACTTGGACATATTTATGTACATTACTTTTCCTCTTTACTGCACATTCATCATTTTATATTTTACCCATCTGTTTTGGTACGTTTTATTGTCCAAGCCCACCCCACGCCCCTCCTGCCACTATCAAAGGTCATTCTTTCAAAAGCAGCAACATTTTATAACCCCAACATTACTAAGCTTAGATCAATCAGTAGCTAAGTGCATGTAAACTACAAAGCAGAACAAATCACTGGCACTCCAGAATGCTGAACATGAGGTTAAGTGGGTGGCTAAATGATAGTAAACAAATGTAAATTAATCTTCTGAGATTCACTGGCTGCTTGGTGGCTTTTTACATACCCCAGAATTAATCAACTCAGTATTTTGGAATAATATATTTAGTAGAGATGTGATCCCCAAGGAATCATGAGAGAGAAACTGATGACAAGATCTTTGTTCCACCTACTTACTAAATTAATTATTTAACACTTTGGGGAATGCGGTGAACTGAGTACAGTAACTCATTTTTTTGTTACTACTTTGTATCTAGCAAATTATATCCAAATATAAACACTTCCATAGCAACCAAAAGATAAGCCTTGGTCACTTACATTAAGCCTCACTGCCTGTACCACTTAAATCTTTCTGCAGTCTTCTTGCACAACCAACCAAACCAAATAAAAATCAAAATGGTTTAATGTAATTTATTTGAAATGCTTCCAGAAAAGTTTAAGGCCATTATTAAAAAAAAAAAAAAAAAACAACCAAAAACAGGCAATACACACATTCATTCTTTCCTCTCTATCTGAACACTTTACATGCTTTTTTCTTTTTCAACATTTTGCTGAACAGCTTTCCTACTCCTTTTCTTTTGCAGATTTTTTTCTTTCTCCCATCTTCACTGGAATACTCATTCAGTTCTAAAAATGAAGCAGTTGAAATAAATTACAAAGCCTGAAACAGAAAAGAAATTTGATTTTTTTTTAAAAACTATAAATACAGAAATATGTTCTATAGGGTAAAAATGCCATTTTTTTAAAAAATAAAAATACCTTGGTTTATATTGTTTATCATCTTGTCACACAGATTTCTGTAATGCATATCAGCATATATATATGTAAGATACTCGACATAATACATTTTCTGTAAACTTGTAGAACACAAGAAAAATATTTTTGGCAATAACTTAAGTTTTTCTACTTTTGTTTTGACGAGTACTTTGCACAGGTTATCTTGTGTGATATCAAGAATCATTTAAATTTATTAATATATCATTTTCATAGCTTGCCACACAGCACTGGCATTATTTCTTATAATAAGAAATAAAATATCACCCAGGGATTCCTGAAAGTAACAGGATGTTTAACTGTTTTAGACTGCATTTAAGTGACTCACCTGCTTCTCATTATAATGAGTAGATTAAATCAGCCACCAGAAAACACAGTAATATTTCCAATTACAGCATGAGATTAAATGCAATAAAAAAACTTTTAAAACAGAACTTGAGGAAAAGAAAAAGGATGTAATACATCCTAAAGGAAAAACAATTCCCTTTTTGTTTAAACTTTCTCTACATAATCCCATGGGGTATTTGTAGAGCACCATTTATATAAAATCATCGCTTAGTTTTAAAAACCAACTACATGTAACTGTAAACAGACATTTACAGAAAATTAATTGTTTTAACATTAGTTTAGTGGTGTTTAAAACCAACAGTGGAGGTCAGTGGAGTGCAAAATGCTGAAGAGGGCCTATTCACAAGCAAAAGCTCTTTTCCATTCTTATCCTGTTTGGGATAATATATTTATGGCACTGAAAGCAAACTACCAGCTTATTTACAAATACCCAGTATTCTCAGCATTTCATTTAATTCAGTGCTGGCTGTAGAGGTTTGGTTGGATTTTTTTATCAGTTGATTACTTTTAGCATTACATGCTTTGACAAACAAACCACATCACTGTGCTGACCACCTGAAACATCCAGATTTTAGTAAGTTTGGTTGCTGGATTTTAGGACAGCGCTTCATTTTGAAAACTTAATCCCTAAAGAGTCCCTGGTTCCATGGCCTGCTGTTTACAGTTCTTGTTGATTTAATATCACAAGAGTTCAGACAGGTTACTGCAAGATAGTTTTCTTTTTTTTCCAAGAAACTATTTTTTCCTTCCATGCCTTTAAGAAAACTTATTATCTTAACACCCCATCCTGAAACTCCATATTATGTCCACATCTTTAGCTGCCCCACTAAGGGGCAAATAAAGTACTTAAAATCAGGAAAAGTTATTTATGTAATGCATATATAAACAGTAGCTTAGAGATTCTGTTTACAGCAGGACATTGAGAATAACTGGTCAAGTACCTCTTTCATCCACCTTAGGTGTTTATGGAATATAATCACAGGACATGAGTTGCAAGAGATTCCAGCTTATACAGATGGGCAGTCACAGTACTACACTCACAGGTACGAATACAAGAAGGACTGCATTGACATCATCACAAAAAATATTCTAAAAGTGCTTCTCCAAACGGTTCCATATATGGAATGCAAATACTGTACAGGTAAGAGACAGATTTTCTTCCACGAACTGTTAAGTTTTTGTCAAACATTGGTTTCTATTTGCTTTTCGTGTTCGCAAGAGTTCGTCTGTTCCATGCGCTCGCAGTCGCCGCTGACCTCGCTGGTGTCCATGCTACAGTCTGACTCACAGTCGGATTGGTCCATCTGCTCCAGGCTGGATTCTCCCGGGGGAACTCTGCGTCCGTCTGGTGACAACAGAAAATGTGCTTCCGAGGTCAGCCCGCCAGCCTTGCCCGCACACGCTGCCTTCTCCTTGGCCTGGCGGATACAGTTCAGCCACTGCTGCTTGTTGAAGGAGTCATTGGCTTGGAGAGAGTGAGTCTGGCTTTGAGATCCGCTTTTGAAGCTGACTCTAAAGAAGTTTTTGACTGAAAGAAACAATACATGTCAAAACCCTGAATGCTTTGGTTGAATGGATTTTATAATCAAAGCGTATATTTAAGTAACGGAATCTGCAAAATATTTGCCTTAATGTGTTTTCCTGCCAATACCACGTCAGACCAAAGAGAAGAGTCTGGGTATCTCCTTTTGTGGGTCAAGATCCCTGAACACCACACACTCAACTAATAATTTCATATTGCTGGATTAAATGATTTTGGTTCTGCCATTCACGAGCTGTCCATAAGGCTTGATTGGAATCACCAGGATCAAGGCTTTTCCCACACTTCCAAGCCTCTCTTTCTACTTCTCTACAAAGCAGATTTCCTTGTACCAGCCAGAGACTGCCTCATCTTTTCCATTCACTAATATAGTGGATATGTACAAAATCCCTTGAAGTTTTGATCAGGTAAGTGAGATCCATGATGTCAAGTGAATTTGTTCAAGAGGACCCTTGTAATAAAACAAGCATCTTTATAATGAACTCAATTAGAAGGACATTAACATGAATAGCTGCAGTCTTGACACTGAGTGCTACAGTATCTGCCAGCTGAAAGCTGGAATAGCAATCAATGCCTCCATAATACAAGGAAAGGCACGATAGCTAAAGCTTAAGATTTCAAAATACACTTGCTTATAATTTTGCAGTTTTGCCACTACAGCCTGCATATTCTCCCCTTCTCCACTGAGTACAGAAGAAGGTACGTGGAGAAATTATCAATACAGTGAGCTTTGAGAAAGAATCTAAAAGAAACAAATTACAACATAATAAACCAGTTTGAAACAAAAATCAAGATGCTGGATAATGTGAATTTTAGAGAAAACATTCTGATGTCTCATTGGCAGGTATCTTAAGGTTCTAATGATCCTACATAAGTAAATAAAAAAAGGTGTGGTCATACTTCTCTCGTTGTTGCTGAATGCACCGCGGATGGATCCACCCAACCGAACTTCTCCATCCTGCAAATCTTCCAGCACGAGCTCCCTGACGGGAATTGGCTGCCGGTAGAGCTGGTAGCAGAGCTGCTCGTTGTGGGTGATAGCTCGTGTAATCACCAGCACTTCTTCAAAGAGGAAGACATGCAGTTTCTGTTAAACAGTAATAAATAATAAAGCATTATTCCTTTTTTTAGAAAGTCATTAAACCAGATTTATTTAAACTCGAGCATGTTATAACCTTGAGCTTTCAACAGTTAAAATAAATATCCCATTCTTCCCACTACATGGCACAACAGCATACAAGTATGTAAATACAACAACTTAAAAACTTCTAGAATTATTTTTCCTGTCCTCTTCTCAGTTTCTCATGTCACAATCCTTCCTGAGCTGAGGCCTTGAATCATGCACAACATTTCAAAGCTGTCTCTACAGCAGCAGCATGCTTATACACATTCTTCTTTCTGACACTAACTTTTCTCTACTGCCTCTGTTAATAAGAAAGAAGCAATCTTACTCATCCAGATAATTTTTAATGAACAATTAAAAGTGATCTTCTTACAATTCACATGCTGCTCACAATCAGCTTCACCACAAGAAATATTCACTCTTTGAAGCTCAGAAAATTACTTTTGCTCCAAGGTGGCACAAGTCACCTGTTACCATCTTTACATTATGTTCCTCCTCACACTTTGCAATCTTCAGTGGCTTCCAATAATAAACAAGCTGAAATTTTAAATTCACTTCACTTGATATCAGGCACTGAAATAATTTGTTTTTCATTGCCAAAATTTGCTTCCCAATCACAAGTTCTTTGCTTCTAAATCTAAATAAACACACTGCTTGCAAGTTTAAGACAGACAGAGCTTCAGATCCATTTAGCTCACTGTCCTATCTTCCAGTAGCTCATGTAATTATATCGTAATTATAGCAGAAATACTTCCCAATATGCCTTGGCAGTCTTTTGATATTGAAAATGCTCATCTTCACTCTATATTTTCACAACAGATGCCTCATTTTATATCCATGAATAGTCCGATTTTTTTACAATTTGTGCATCTCTTTACAGGACACATAATCCTACAAGTATTCCAATTTATTGGACTTACAGTTTATCCAGGATATTGTTAGGCCCCACAAGAGACAGAGATACATATAAGCTTATTATCACACTATACAGATATTTAACTGTATAGTTTTATTTATATATATATATATAAAACTTAACAAAAATGATCAGTGTTATATATAACAGTTAACATTTACCACCTTCCTATATATTAGAGCATGAGGTTTCTCTGTGTATGCTCACAGCTCTTTTAGCTGTCGTTCAAAATGAGGATACCTTTAAAAGCTATTTATGATAAAATTTTTATTCCTTACCACTCCCCTGTTGTTCTTCAGTTCACCATGACAACACAGAGCACGTGAATTATCAATCAATGAATCCCTTTGGCCTTCTTCAAGATAAATAAGTCTCTCTTTGTAATACTGGCATTCAGATTCCCCAGTCTTTACGTTGATTTCAGCCACTATACCCTGAATTATATTTATCTACAAAAAGACAGTGCAAACACAGGACCTTTAATTAGACAGTCCAATACTCAGAGCTATCTCCTAATAATCTGAATGGTAGCTACAAGAAAATACATTGTAATTTTCAGTATATTTTTCATTACCTTTTGCAGAGCAGTCTATAAAAGTATTAATAGTAACAACAGAACTAAGCAGACTACAGGGTACAAAGACACTTCAGTTTGGCTTTATTATTGCTTCTCACTATGGCTTAAAAATCTGGCATTTATCTCTTTATATCAAAGCAAAATAGGCAGAATTAAGATAAACAGATATAAGAAATATAATCAGAGATGTATTTTTGTCAGCTGAAATGTGCCAAAAAATGACACGGGACAAACAACCTACATTAAAAATGTTTACTTAAAATAGATAATAATTCTCTGAAAACTGCTGCATCACATCAGAGAACAAAAACCAGAACTATCAAGATCCCTGTCCTGCAAAACATGCAACTAGCCCAAACCACTAAAATCTCAGCTGTTATTCATTATTTGTTATCCTCTGGAAACACAGTAAATTAATTGTATTTTACAATTCCACTATGTGCATATAGCTACAATTCTATTATTGAAGTAATAATTTTCTTGCCTTTTTACTTTAAAAAACGTTAAAAGGAAAGCTTTGCCTTTTCTATAAAAATATGCTCCTTATCTTGAACATCCTTATACTGTGCAGTCCTTCAGGACTTTGATATCAATTTTTCTGAAACTTAAAATACAACTCCTTAACTGAGTATGTGGATGTGGAGTTCTGGTAATTTTACTCAACTCCAACAGTAATCAGAGGTTGCTCAGATCGATCAAATTCAATTAAATAACTGGAGGTGGAGCAGGGGGATGGGTCAAGACATACAGGCCCAAAGAGGTAATTCAAGAATCTGCTGATCCCAGGAGATTTATCAGGGATCAACTTGGCCCAGTTTGCTTAAAGCAGATGGCCAGCCAGGAAGACAAACATACTTCATAAGCCTTGGACAGTGTTAAGAGCCAACCACATACAGTCATTTCTGTTTCCTAATTTAACTTGGCAGATACACAATTTCTGACATAAATCGCTTCAAAGATCATCACAAACCTATGTAAGGCTATTGAAATATCGACAAAAATCATTATTATATATTGTGAAACAATACAAAATACAAGTGTAGAAGGAAAGCATTTAAAACATTTTCTAGAAGATATCACCAGGCATTATCTAGGAAAGCAAACTTCAGAAATAACCAGAAAAATTCTTTGAGATATTTATGATTTTTGTTTGGGTCTTACAGAATATGCACAAGGGAAAATTGTATTTTATAGATTGCATCTAAATGTGAGTATCCAAGCGCTGAATTTAAACCATACTTGTCCAATTTTACAACAGAGAAGTTAAGCTGGGCAAGGGATTTGAGGAAGGAATAGCAGAACAACAGTGGTGAGGTACATGTGTTTTGAAAGATGGATTTTCCAAAAAAAAAGCAGGGCAGAGAAAAAATAAAATGTACAAAATATTAAAATGTAGGCAAATCATTAATTTTGTCCTCAAAATGCTAATTTTACTTATATTTAAATACTATTCAAAAGCAGTAGGACAGTGATGATACTTATTTATTCATTTTTTTACAAGTGTATTTCAAACAAATCTGCTACAGTGAACTTATTACTTGCAGATACACATTTGTGTGTATGTGTACATATTACTGAATTTAAAGTGTGTATGTATGTGTATATATATATAGATATATAAATATATGTGTGTGTGTATGTGTGTCTCTGTGTGTGTATGTACATGAGAAAACAACAGAAGTCTTAGGAATATCTGAGTTGGATCCCTTTCAATTAATGAAGAAGTTTTAAAGCCTTGGATTTATTTCCTTGGTTTTACTTCAGAAAGCACAACACAAAGGAATTATGGAATTACAATTACAAATGAAAAATGGAATGAAAGCAAATTTCAGAGCACCTTTCCTACAGATGTTAATTACTAGATTCAGAGGTTATGTGAGATCTCAAGCCAGGGAGTAAAACATATCTGAATGATCTAAAACCTGAAAAGAAATCTCCACTTCACTTCGATTAGACTGGAAAACAACATTGAAGGGTAAATACAAAATGGACAAGGATCAGACAAGACCTGTGTAAAACACCTTCCATCCTGTCATTGTTTTTTAGTATCACTTTGCTATTGAAATAGGTTTTACCTGGAGGAGTGGTGCTAGATATTTCATGTATTAGTTTCAGGCGTACATATTAAGTATTTGCATTTTTGTATTTTATGTAGCATCCCTTAATAATTCATTAATAAGCTAAAAGTGCTATATCTCCTAAAAAACCCAAACCCAACAGTAACTCACAGCTTCTTCAAGGTGCTGCTGATCTGGATGATCATTTGGTGTGTGTCTCAGAATTTCTCGGAGCAGCAATGGGTATTTAACCAAACGGCTTCTTGGGATGTCCAGGAAGTTCCAAAGGTCCAGTTTGCGGCTGAAAGGAGACTCCAAGCAGCGCTGCAGGAAATCCTGCACTCTGTGATCCTGTTTCTTGTGATCCAGTAAAGCTTTGGCTGCTACTTGATTGCTGCAGTAGCTGTCATAGGAGTTCAGGCATGGAAGCTGAAGAAAGGAAGAAATTATTCTGCAGCTGAAGCAAAGCCCAGTTTGCTCTACTGAAAGTTTCAAGTGATTCAGGATGTCAGAAATTCACGGTGAGACTCTTTTAGCTGGAGATTTATCCACAATTTATTTATGATAGCATTTCCAACATATATAAGTTTTACAAGGGTCCTCAAACCTTGTTCAAAATTTCAGTAATTTAGAAGCATTTGCTTATCTCTCAGTGCCTAAAGATCTCCAATACTATTTCAAAGCATTAAAAATATCAGTGACTTAAGACTGAGAACTACTTAATGCAGGCAATACTTGAATACAGAGGCCTGATGTTAATTGTGAATGGAAATAAAAGCCTAGGAATGAGTATTGTCAAACCTGGCCTTTTTTAGATATGCAAAATTCTATAGTCCAACTTCTATATTGCCCTCAAGAACCTTAACCAAACTAAGACAACAAAACTGTGCCTTAAATCTGAAAAAAACAAACAAACAAACAAAACAACTTTGACAACTGAACAGAATGACATTCAAAACTAACTGTAGGGTGCCCTTATAAAATGTGACTTTTCAAGAAAACCAGAATACAAAAGGGAGCAGATTCTAAAATGACCTACATGAGACAAACTCTAGTCTGCCTCTCCATTTTTGTTTAAAATATATTAAATATGGCTTGTCTCCTGAAGAGCAAAAGCTTTAAAAACAACATCCTAGTCTAAATCTTCTCATGAAAAATCCCTGAAAACAGAAAGTATTCCATTATATCTCTAAATAGTTGCCCTACCTTTTAAAAAAATTCTGAGAATATATTTTTGACATGTTATGCTAGATATGAAAACGAATTTGTCTGATAAAAACTATGTTACAGCTCCAAGCTAAAGCCCCAAAACTGATTAGGAACTCTGCCTTACCCAACCCACAAGGATGTGGCCAACGTGTTCTGTTGATCCATCAGGTTTCCTGATTTCTTGAAGTCGCCTAAGAAGATCTGATCATTAGAAAAAAAGAAGAGAAACCTCACTTAATAAAGCAAGTGACTTTAAATCTATGTGTAGTAGCAATGCAGACGAAGACTCTTTGAGTTTTACCTTCATGTAGAGGAATTAGGGAGTCCAGTGTTCCAAAAATTTGGTTCAACTCTTGCTCTGTCATTATGGAAAGCTTAAGCATTGGGTCATGATAAGCCTGAAAAGAAAAAAAAAAGGGAGTTCTGTAATTAATATATCACTGGTAGTTGAAAAATTAGTATTTAAAGTTCCCTGTAAGTAAAAGCAGACTAAGTGGTAAGAATACAGACCAACTGCTAAGAATATTTTGAAGTTTCATAACCATATATTAAAATTATCGATTTCATATTTAGGGGGTTGGGGAAAGCAGCACATTTAAGTGTTTCAGAAAGAATGGGAAGATAGAAATAAGCTTTGGGTTTCTTCCCTCCCTTACTGTCTTAGCAATTATAAAAAGCAAAAATTATTTTTAAAGTGTTATGAACCAATTAATACTGTTTGTTGTGTTTTGTGGTTTTGGGTTGTTTGGAGTTTTTTTAACATACCTTTTTTGCCAACTTCAGATCTTCTATCAGGTCTTCTTCTCCTTTGGAAAGTTCAAAGATTGCCTGTAAAACAGACACAAGTATTCTAAAATATCTTTATTTAATCTATACTCCACTTACTGAATTGACGTTATATTTTGACCAGATGTCTTAATACCACGTAGCTGGTTCCTGGAATACAACTCACTTATTTGGGCTGTATCAAGAGTCCTGGCTTCTGCCCCAAGACAGCAATGACTGTTACACTGTGCAAACAGTTTCTACAGTTTATTTTTCAATAAGCTGCCTTTGAAGTTCTCAATTACAGAAGTTATTTCCTATGAATTCTTGTACATTGTTAAAACTTGCACAAGAAATGCTTGGCACTACTTTTGTTTGATTTATGAGTCAGTGCCTGAAGTATTCTCAGAGATTGTTATAAGCTTTGTTGATACTACCCAAAATTTCTTTTGAAAATAAAAAAAGCTTGCTTCTGTAGGGGCTCTGTGTTGATTGCAATATGAACTATTTAGACTTTGTCATGTACCACACATTAAAGCCACTGACATACTCTTTTTGTTTTGGAAGACATCTTTTGATCAGTATGTCATCTTTCTAGCACTGCAAACTTCCTCAAAGACAGTCTTTTCCAACAGGGGAAATGATGGTGCATTTCTGTGTGTATGCATTGCTTGCTGGATACCTGTTCCTGCTCATTTAGCATTGCTAGGACAACATGAAACACCAAAATATCAACCATGACCACAGAAAGCATCACACAGAACAGGGACACACGTGCAGCCCCTCACAGGACAACAGATCTCAGTCACTTCACATTTACGAAGGAAATATGACGAGCTGATTTTTATGAAGAATATATTCATCTAATATAGCTTGAATCCTAAAGACTAGGGATGGAATTCTGCTTCTAGTGGAGTGGTGACATTGCATTTAATGGCAGGAAAGCCTCAAGTGCCATCCCAATGCCTACTAGAATTCCCAACTCCATACTTTACAGGCAACTTTCAAACACACCATTTATGGTTACAAAACAACACAGACCTCTTGCCGCTTGATTTCCTTGGCTGTGAGCATGTGATTGACACAGACATCGAAGGTCTCACTCCACAGTTTGCTGTCCCTCCGTTTGGTGCTGGCAGGGGGCACATTCCGAGCCCAGGGCCGGGGACTGAACAGATCCGGGCGACTGTCACTGCGGAAACTGATGGAACGCTGCGGATACAGGGAGGGATTGGGTTTATGGTTAGAACAGCTGCACTTGCCTTGTTTTCTAAGGAATTTATATACATAGTTCAGTGCAATAAATATATTACCTAATATTAGTTTTTACTTTGAACTTCACAGAAGTTTTAGTACTGGGAATGTAAGAAAAATTATTTTAATACATCTTCATGGAAGGCCAGTACCTCCAATTCCTGTAGTCCATGTCCTGCCCTCAACATGTCCAAAATCTACGCAATGCATTCATATACCATGCAACAAGACTGAACTACAGGGACAATGCAGAATGGTCCAACACACTAAATTAACATAACTCATCAGAGTTTCAATTCAGTGAACAGAAATTATTCATGCATTACACATATCTGCCTCATTAGATCTCTGATACTTAAAAATTTAGAATCAATGCAAATTTTAGAGAGTAAATTCTATGAATACTTTTTTGGTTAATTTTGAAAGAAAGAATTAATTATTACACAGATCCTCTGGAAAGCTAAGACAGCAAAATCTGGCAGATAAACTTGTCTTGTGCATCAACTGAAAGTCAACAGAATTATTCGGTTTAAATAATTTTGAGGCGTGGGAGTATTCAAAGATGTCTGTACTAAAAAAACAATAGGTCCTACACCTCGAGGATATCAGATGAAAGTGTGCATTACATCAAAGACATATTACAGGTTTAAGTTAAAAAACTTTTCTCCGTTGGGCAGAAAGAGGGTTCATAAAGGAGATTTCCCTTCAAAACCTTTCCTTTTACCTTACTAAGTGTCTCAATACCTGAAAGCATCACTTTTGGTTTTTAACTGTCAATCATCAAGGATTTGATAGGTATCATCATTACAGATATGTCCATAAGAGGATTAAATAATTAGTGCCATAATACTCCAACTGACCAAACTGGTTTTGATACATGGAGAAACCCTCTCAACTGGTAACATCCTGCCTCTTCAGATGTATGGATCAGTAAACTAATCCACATAGAAAGGTGTGAAATGGGTAGCTGACTGAAATGAGAAGAACAAACTGTTCCTTAAAGTTATGTCAATATTCAGATATTAATGTTTATGACAAGCAACAAGCCAGGTTCTTTTCACACCATTTGCTCCTACTTTACTTCTCAGCAGCTGAAGAACTACATTAACAATCAGTGCTAGCAGATAGCAAACTGTGAAATAATCACTATTGGTTCTACTACTGTGGAATCTTTATTAGTACTTCTGGAGCCTCTAAACTCCACCAATGAGTACCAGTATCTCTGTATCTACTATGTGGTCTGGTCCTAAAATTCAATAAAGCCAATTTTAAGAGAGACTTGAGAGTTCTGTTTGCCTGTAGACTCTTAAAAAGAGTTCAGGCTAAGGATGGATACTTCATGCTCTTACTGTGCTATTTTGAAAGGATTTCTTTCTTCCTTCATTAAAATTAGAGGCTTCTTTTTGAGGTCCTACCTCTGAAATGCCTTAACTATTTCACATAGTTGAAATACCCTACACTTTTGTTGTTATTTAAAATGTGCCTTACATAACAGAATCATCTTTCAACTGCCTTGGGTAAGAATATTTAAAACAAAATAAATTCTCTTCATTTCCAGGTTGAAAGCACCACATACAAAGCATAAGACTTAAAATTCTCCTCTGAAGAGCCCATAAAATGCAAACAGTGCCTATAAAACAGTATGTTTTTACAATATCAGAAGACATATTATATAAATAAAACCCATGCCTTTTAAAAGAAGCCATTCTGAGTCCCACTTGGAATTGACAAACCCCTTAAAAATAAACACACACACACACAAACCTTCCAAAACTTTGCAAGTCAGGTGCTAGTCTTCCTTCAAGAGTTAAGAAGGCACAGAAACACCTGTGAAATTGCATGCTTAATTTATACTTGTTATAATAAGGAATCATGGAACCTGTTATATTCACAGCCAAATGAGAAGATTAGGGAAAAGAGGCAGGTGCATTGCCTCCATAAATCACCAGGAGAATGCAACTAAGCAGAACATTCCATGCCCCAAGGTGGAATGCCCCTTTCCATGCATTCCCATCCAGGAGATAGCTCCTTTGTGGTGGTGTTCTCATAAAGGAATGTTTTATGTTGAATGAAGAAAGCACTTGTAAATGAACAGCACCAGACAGATGGATTTTTAAAGTAAATGCCTCGATTTTGAAACCTTTTAACAATGTCTTGTATCATGTTATAAAATGGCACACAGCCATAACAGCAAACTCATATCACACAGTGCTTTGAGAAAAGTAATGTAAGGGGCACAGGACTGAGGTTATTTATTTAATGGAACAGAGCTCGAAAGTGAAGTTCTACCAAGAAGTTTTAAAAACAAGTACTCTGATGGTGTCTTTGGTTGGTACTTGCCAAGAAGGGAAAAGAAAAAAACAGAAAAGAAAAATCAGTCATGTGATAGAATCCCATGAAAGAACTGCAGGAATGTCAAAACAGCACTTCTACATCTACAGTCTTTTAAAAATATTTTCCTAGTTTCTGGCTTCCTTAAAAAACATGTCCCAGACACTCTTTAAAAATTACGGCCATCTGTGGTGATTAAAATTTTCATATAATTCCAAAAACTAAAGGAGCCAGGGAAGAATCCAGACACAACCCCTCATTTTGTTTACTGTATTTCTCTGACGGCAACAGCTTTCCCTAGCTGTTACAAGACTGTTGCTATGAAAGGTCTGTGTGTTCCTGATGTTAATTGATGCAATTAGCAAACCTTAATTTCAGCTGCAGTAAAGCAAAGAGCTTCATGTGCTGTGAAAAGGGCACTACTGATCAAAGCTCTGGCATTCAGCACTGATGTTATAAAGAGTTTTCTTCTTTGGGATTTTTAGAAATTTCCGGTGTCCTAAGACAGATAAAAATAATTTGGACTCCCTACTTAAATTCAAGACACACTGGTGAAGACTGAAGCTGCAGAGGAAGCCAGCCAGACTTCCATTTCTCTCTTCAGCATCAGCTGGAGTTCTTTTTCTGATCCTATTTTCAGCTTTTAAGCTGAACAGCACAGCTGTGAATAAGACCAAGCAGATCATCACAATCATTAGTCTGTCTTGATAGACTGAAAATATAGCTATAAAATAAACTGGTTTCCCAGGTGGATGAACATATAAGAATACCTGCTTAGTATGAGGCACCCTGCAGATACACAGACAGGTTGTCAGAGATGAAGCTGACAGCACTGTATTAGTCAGCTACTCGACAGTGCTCTGTGTGACAGAAACAAAAAGACTACAAAGAGTCAAAAAAAAAAAAAAAGTCCAGAAAGAAAACCAAAACAACTTCATGTGTTTGTTACTTGGAATCCTTATGGAAAAAGTATTGAAAATAAGTGGACAATTGTAATAAAGTTGAGTATACCCAAAAATAATCAGATACTTCTATAATCAATAAAATATGCAAAACATGAAAAGCTGCTAAGAACATATCTTAAAAGATATTACATGAATCCCAGACACAGAGATGTTTCTCTTCAACCTGCATGCTGGAAGTCCATTAATATAAAATGGAAGATACATTTACAGAGGTAAGGAAAATTATCCATAATTAACTTTTTTCCTCTTACATGTATCTTCCATTCAGAAGAATGTGTAAGACGGTTTGTTTGAAATGCCATAAAGGAATCTCAGAACTTTCTAATTCCTTTTACTGATGCTGTTGGAATAATCTTTTTAGATAGATGTTCTGTTGGCTTTGTTTTGTTTTCTTCCAGGGGAAGAAGTCATTTATTTGGCATGTTGTGGTGATGATAGTACTTTACTTCATTTTACTGATATGGAAGATCTAAGCAGCAATGCAAGAGGAGACGTTGGTTTTGACTGAAATAACAGTGAAGATACATTAAAGTTCACCCAGTAAGAAAAATCAACTTTTTACTTTTTTTTTTACAGGAAATTACACCATGAAAAGAAATCCTGCTCTAAACTGTTCATAAGACACAATGACAGCTATGTCAATACATAATAAAGTGAAATAGCTATATGTGCTTCCCAGAATGTTTCTAAATAATTCCAAGTGGGACACCTGAGCACAAGGTCAGTCTTTTTTGTCCCTGTTCTATAGTTACTGACAAAATCAGATAAGAAGTCAATTTACAGCCAGCTATGAAGGCAGTCTTGAGGGACATCACCAGCATTCATCACTTGGAAATGGATTCAGATCCAGGATTTAGAGAATACACAAGCTGATTTCTCAACGCAGCTCCTTCAAGCACATAATTAGAGGAGTTGGTATGAATAACCATCACTGTTAAATATGCTTACAAGCAGACAGTTAATTAAAATATATTCTTATAGTCATTATGAACAGAGCAAGACAGAAATGCTTGCAACAGCAGGACTTGCAAAGCCACTATTTTCTCTCCTATTTTTGACAAAATTTGCCCTGAAACACATTTATACAGCTCTCCTCTCAGGAAGCTGCTACTACACACATGAAAGGACAGTTGTTTTGGATAGTCTAAAAGAACTTTATATTAAAGACAATACTGTACTGGACACTGTGTACAGTGGCAGAGGCATTCACTGCAGAGCAATAGCACAGGTACCTCAATGAGGCCAACAGCTGCGTAAGGCTGGGAGAAGGGAAGCGCCTCACTCAGCTGCAGTTTAGCCAAAAATTAATTCACTTTCCACACTCCTCGCCACTGGAACTAATGTAGCCCTTTCAGAGCAGGGCCAATTTTTCCTGGAGGCAGACTATGGAGGAGATTTATACCCCCCAGGGAATACAGGCATCTCTGCTCGAGTCACGCCAGACTACACCTGGCCCAAGCCCAGGCCAAGGGCTGTGCAGACATTCTGCTGTTCCTCCAGCCCTGCACACACGGCTTTTCTGTCCAATGTCTGCACTTCACACACCGGAGCAACCAAAGACAGGAAAACCAATGTTAGAAAAACCCTGTAATATCTGTTTTCTAGATAATTACCACCACTGAAAAATAGGGTTCTTTCCCATGACTTTTTATTTGTCATAAGACTCCCCGCTCTGAAGTTTTATTTCTTTCCTTTCCTCCTTAACAGGTAGCTTCAGTAATGCTCTAGTTTAGCTGATTTTGATTAGAACACTTTTAATACATTCAAGTTATTTTTAAATTTCCTCTCAAAGAAATTAAGGTTGTTAAATAATGTTCTTCAGATCTTATACGTGCTTACTTACATAAACTGTTTTAAAGAGGAAACAGTCTGGCTTTCTAGGCCAGACCCACAGCAGTGCTGCAGCTCCCAGCTGGCACTCGGGAGAGCCATTAGGAGTTGAGCACCCAAATATTTCGCAGTCTCTAGGTCTGAAGGTACAAATGCTTTATAAACTAAAGTTCCATTACTCTCTAAGTATGGTAAATACTGTGCACCTAATCTGTAACACAGAAACTGCATTTAAAATTTGCTTGCCCTTTACTAGTTTTCATCATCAGCTTTGGAAAAAGACTTGGAAATTTCCAGTTGTTAACTAACTCTTTTGTTTAGGCAAGGTCAAAGTTCACTATACAGAAGGAAATTTAGCAGTCCTACATGACCAACTATACCAAAAATAACACTTTCACAGAAATCAACCAAAATGAATAGAAAGTGTCATGGAACATTCTCTTCATCAAATTTTAAAAGCAATCGTAATCCTTTAGTAAACCATTTTTATATGCTACAGGTGCAATAGTTTTCTTACTGGGAATTGAAAAGCATTAATCATCTGGACAGAAAAGTGGTTTTTTGAGGTGAGAGTTGTGAGTTTGAAGCTGAGTGACTTGATATTCACAAGCTGCCTGAACCTGTTTGGCACATCACAGTGGGGTGTGTGCGTATGTGCATCGCCCATTCCCAGGGACCCAAAAAAACTGGGGCTCTGTCCACACACCCCTTTCAACACAGTTGGACCTGCTGCCATTACCTGCAGTGTCTGGCTGAACCGCTTCAGTGGAGTGGCACGGACAGGAGGAATGAGATTGGCCAGGGATGTGACTCTGGAAAGCGGCTTGACCCGTTTGTTACTGGGCTCCTGGAGCAGGGGGAGAGAGGGGAAGGAAAAAACAGGGAGGGTGTGAGTATAATTAAACAAAGATTGCTGAGCTTTTACTGATTTTCCTAAGAAAGCATTTCTAACAAGCAAGTTTGCAAACCTGGCCCATAGTTAGGGCAGTAAATAAACAACAGCAGCTTTAAACGCTGACAGTGATAGATTGCTCTTGGCTGGTACATACAGGTCCTAAAACAGCTGGAAAATGTCATGATGGAGACTTGGCATGGCTGGGAGCAGAGGGAGAGAGGAAGGTAAAGAAAGATTAAATAATTTCATTATATTAACTCATTCTTTAAAGAAAAATTTTCAGCAGTGCTCTGCAGCTAATGCACATCGTGATAATCTCATCGGAAGAAATACTTCAAATAAAAACAATTCTGTTTATTTCTGTGCCTCTGACACTGTCAAGCATGTGACTCTATTCATTTAAATGTATTTTATTCCAGAAAATATAACTCAGACAAAAATCTCTAAGTCTCATTGTCTTTGAATTCATATTCCTATAGAAATACATATACAAGCAAACACATAAGTAACATGTTTATATATATTTATTTTTTGCATAAAATATAAAGGAAAATTAAACAAAAATCTACCATATAGCATCTAATTAAATATTTTTCTTTTCATATATACTTTCAACAGCACAACAGCACTTAAAGTAATATATAACTACTTCAAAATAATTTGCTAATTGTCCTGCAGATATATATTTTAAAAAAAATTAACAGAAATCATAATACGAGAAAAAGGTGGTTATAAATACATAAAAATAGAACAGTTACCCTTGGCTTCCTAACCTCCATCTGACATTTAACGGATCCTGAACAGCACATGCAAAAGGCAACTTTTGACAGAAAAAGAGCCAAACCTTCCAAGTGAAGTTAAAAAACCCATCCAACACCATATTTCAAGGACATCCTAAAGGAGTTCATCTTTCTTTTTCAGCCATGCTTATAAGGTTTGTGCAGGCTTGCTATGCCTCCAATTGCCTAGGCATAGCTTTAAGAAAATGAAGCATGCCTATTATCCTTTTCTTCAGAAATATAAATCCTTCCGGAAATAATGCAGATTTGTCAACCTTTCTGATACCAAAAAATAAGTCTCAGGAGCGAAGATCACCATCTGTATTACTGGCAAGAAAAATTTTCTTCTATTAGTGCAGCAACAGAGGAAAGGTGAGAAGCAGCTACATATTTAATTTACTTCTCAGCAGGCAGACCTGGAAATCCATAAAAGCCAGCTGAGATAAGCGACAAAGTGTTTAACCCTCTAGCAAAAATAATGTATTCCATCACACATGAACCCTGGCATTAAAGAACTGTAGCAGCCCAAATCACTTTAAATTCTTATCTTCACCGTTGCACTGTTATTCATAACCCTTCCTTTTCAGCAACCACGTCTTTGAGACAGGTTTTAGAAAGAGTATTTTTTACGTCATTGCAGCACCACCAGCATACTTATCTACAGCAGCACCAGCAGCATGAGACTCCACTGTAATTCCTCTCTAACTGGTGGCACATCATCAGCTGTTTGTTTTTTATGATTATTCAGAATGCTAGTGCTGGTGCACAGATAATATCCCATGGCAGAGCTGCTCGCTCAGGATTGTGCTGCACTGCAGTGGAAGGACACGATGCCCCAGCTGGAGCTGGGCAGTGCCATGGCAGCAGCACAGCCTGTGCCAGCAGCTCCACCTGAGCAGCAAAGGTTACTTAGGCATCAACAGCCCAGCCCGAAAGCAAAACCTGGCAATCAAGGTTGTATGGACTTTCAGAAGAAAGAGAGAGAAGGATTAGGATTAACAGAAAAGATTACTCCTCCTTCACTGCCGTGTCCTTTCTGGTATCTCACAGCTTTGCTGCAATGTGTGTGTGTTCTAGGAATGAAAGACAAAACTCATGCAAAAAAAATGAGGCTTAACAAGACCAAGTGCAAGGTGCTGCACCTGGGTCGGGGCAAGCCCTGGTATCAATACAGGCTGGGGGGTCCATCTCCCATCCATTTCAAGGAGAAAAATGCCAAGGTAGTATAGTTTCACTAACGTTCATGCTGCAAAAACTCACTGAAAACAGAAACTGATGTTTAAGATAACAAACTCCAGTTTCAGCCACCATCAAAAAACATTAAGCTCTTCTAGAGCCTCTTTCTGTGAGCCACCAGAGGCCAGCTCTGCTCCCAGCAGGCAAAGCCAAGTCAGGTAACTGCAGTCCTACCCCTCCTGTGTCAGCACTCCATCTTGAGTTTTTCATGCAACATATGGTGTTCTGATTTCACACTGAAAATTCTGACCAGAATTCCAAACAGCTAAATACATAGTTGAAATTAAGAATTCAATTTTACAGAAAGAAAATAGCATTACCACAGGATTCTCTTAAACAGCATTATTTAGGATAATTTCAGAAGCCTGAGACTTTTTACCAAGGAGCTCTTAAAGTAAATCTTGTTAATCATAAGTTGTTAAGTATGAGAAAAGCTTTTTTTGAATATTTCTAATGTGATTTTCACCTTATATTAGAAACTGTCTGATAGGTTAAGATACTGAGCTGGAAGTGGAAACTCATCAAATCTTAAGTGTTCCAGATGTCATCTCCTTCAGAGAAGTCTAACAACAAAGATCATCAGCACTGAGTCACCCCTTCTACTGTGGAAAAATGAAGTTTGTACAAGTAAGGCTTTGCCTGTGCAATGAAAATATAGCACTACTGGAGCAATTCTAAAACCATTAGATAGTAATAGTGAAACTGTGAGACAATCACAGGATTTCTGCTGTATGGTCTAAAATCATTCTGTCTCCACCTCCCTTTCCATCAACACCCTCATCTTCAAGCTGCGTCACGTCTCCAAACCAGCACCACAGAGGAGCTGAACAAGCTACTGAGGCCAACGATCTTGACAGGGGAAAATTCCTCAGTCAAGTGCAAGTTTTAAACAGGGGGCTGTTTTTCTCACCAAGGACTCTGTTCTTCACAGTCAGCAGATCAAACAGAAAGAGAAGACTGCGTGAACTGTTCTGCTTTACGCAGAGACACTGAACAGAATCTGCACTTGCACATTAGTCCCATAAGATCAGGGAGCTGCTCTCCAGATGCTGCTTCCCAAGCCTCTTAAATTTTATTAATTTACCTTAAAAATAATAAACTGCCTTTTCACCTAAGAATTCCTCGTGAATGTATTCATTACTTTACTAATTTGTCTCTGAAAAATCTCTGATGTTCCAGTTAATCAGTAGTCCCACAATCAGAAAATCCTTTGGGGTATGAATCTTGGCATGTGGAAATGCAGAATTGTGTCTGCCCAGCATGAGGAGGCTCCAGTAAGGACATACTGCACAGGTAGAATGAACATCAGATTCCAGGCACACACCTCTGAGTGCAGAGCTACCAAAAGTCATCACTCCCCATTCCCTCTTGCTCTCTCCTGCCCCTTCAGCAAAGGTAGAAGCAGAGGGGATTGAGAGAGAGAGGATTTAGTGGCTGCATCCAGTTGCAACACCATCACCTGTCCAGACTGGGAACTGGTTATGACACAAAAAATTCAGGAGTTCTAATATTTTGCCTGACTTTTTAAAGTCGTCATTATTGGTATTAAAAAAAAAATCTTATTTCAGAGTTTTGAAATTATTGCATTTTTGACTGCATTTGCAGAGTCATGAAGGCTTGCCAAAACAGTATGGGAAGTTAAAAAAAAAAAAAAAAAAAAAAAGAAGATCCAGACTACAGTTTGGCAGAGTTTCCAAAATGTGGAGTCGGTATATGTGAACAAGTAACGTTAATCTGACAAGGCTTTAAATTTGATATAAGGCTAAATAAAGCTGAGGGAAGATGAGTGCACAAACTTCAAAGGCTGAACAGTCACGTGAAATCAAATTAATACCTGACTAGGCTAGAACAAAGAGCAGATGGCTTTTGGAGGGAGCTGTATATTTGAACTCAAGATGACTTTGGTAACATTTGAATTCAGAGAGGAAAAAATTTAAGTGGGAAATACCATGTATATGTGAGCCTCAGAAAGAACTTGAAACTGTGAACAAACTGATAAAAGCAGCAAATCTGTGTCCAAAATATGGATGGTTCTGGAAACCAGAGTGGACACCTCAAACAACTACTGCGTCCTTTGGAGAGAGTATGTTTTTATAATATACTTTTCTGAAAAATTAGTAGGAAGAAAGACTAATTGCAATGGCACAATCCCAATTTAAGATGGGAAGCTATCAGATAAGTTTCAAAGATGCCATGCCTCACCATTTCTCTAATTTGGCATGAAGATTGCTTCTTTATTGTAATTTACTCTGTGGATTTTATATATATATATATACATACACACACACACACAAAATTGTAGTATCTTCTACATATTAAACTCTAACCTAATGGTTTAGACTACTGAGTAAGCAAGGAAAGCTCTATCTCTTAACGTAGAACCCAAAAAATTAGCCTTCTGCTGTGGGACAGCTGGAAAACTCATACAGCAACGAGCTGCAACTATAGCACTACAAGGAGCCCGGGTAAGATCTGCCAACTCCCTTTTCAGTAAAATGTAAGTCTTTTTGCCTTGCATAACTGAGTGACGTGTTGCTTTCTAAACTGTGATATGGTCATTCTAAAATGACAGCATCTTGGCAAAAAGGTAACTTTTGTATCATTATTTTTGGCTCTGGTGCACGAGAATTACCATATAAAAGCCTGAATCTTAGCACACAGCACCCACTCCTCAGGCAAGCTGAGCATTCAACAGCCACAGAAGCATCATAAAGCAGAAGATCCTCTGAAGAATCAGGCACTTAGATTAGTTGCAATGTACTGACAGCTAAGTTGATGTTATTTTTATTCCTCCTTTAGTGAAACTGGCACCTAATAATTGGATATATTTATCCAATAACAAATTACACAGCTAGAAAAGCTTCTAGGAGCCTGTTTAGGGGAAGAAACTAATGTTTTGGTGCTCTTCATCTGCAAAATGAAAAAAAAAAACAAAAC